CCGCGTGCGGGAACCTCCCCTCCTCGGAGGGCCCGGGCTCCCCGCTGCTGCCGCCAGCTTGTCTGGCGTCTTCCCTGCCAGGAGTCTGGGTGTGAAGAAGGCTATTTTTAGCCTGTTATCCCCGTAATTATCCTGTCTTGGTTTTGCCCTGGTGCTCGGTTCTGCCGGGGAATGTCAGTCTCCCCACACTCAGGGGAGATGGGGACGAGGGGGACCCCGGAGAATCCCCTCTGCTCACTCCCGGGCCTCTGTCTGTCCACTTAGCAGAGGCCACGAGGGCCTCACAGGAAGTTCTGACACCTCCCAGCTGGAGCAGACTGGGCATGGAAGGGTGGCTGGGGCTCCAGGCTGGCCCCCCCTGTGCCCCACGGAGGGTCTGGCTGGAGCGGGCTGTGCGACAAATTCCTGTCAGCCAGTTCACACTGCCTGGCGGAGCAGAGACACTGCCCTCCCCCGGTCCCTAGATGAAGCAGGAGCTCGCGGTTCACTCAGCTACCTGCATCTCTGCGAGCCCTGTGCCCAGTTAAAGGAGCCTGGTGTGGAAGCCTGGGGGGCACCCCAGCTGTGGCTCGCCCCACTCGGCACGTGCTGGTAGCCTGTTGCTATGCGGGCCCCCTGTCAAGGGCAGACGGGGTGTGGGCGCCCGCACTGCCGGCTGGGCTCCTCGGTCCCTCCTTGGCTGGGGACAGGTACCTGTGGAAGGAGGGACGAGGGACCAGGCTTCCTAGTCAGGGGGCAGAGGACTCGCCTGAGGATCTGGGGCGGGGACCCGCCCAGGACTGCAGTTCTTGGCCCCGGGTCACGGAGCCTCATGGGGTTGTCTGCTTACCCTGCCCCCGAGCCTCCTTCAGCTCCTCCTTGCCGGGGACTTGAGGCCTATCGCCTGCTGTGCCCCCCGCCCCGTCCTCCCCCAAATGGCACCCCGCACACGGGGTCCCAAACACTTCCCAGGGGCTTTGCTTGGTCAGACCTTCCCCGCCGTCGACTCCCCCATCATCTGCAGACAGCATATGGGCTGCCTCCTCCAGGAAGCCTCCCGTGATGC